TGGCTTCTTTTGGTAGCCTGCAATGCCCCATACCTGTCTATGTCTCTGAAAGGGGGGTCGTTAGAGGGAATTGCTGGCTTGGCTGAACAGGTGATGTCTTCTGTTCTCCTGTAAAGGGGTTGGGGCTGCGATGATAGCGGGAAGGAATCAACTCTATCGCTGAATTTTAAAATATTAGATACTATGAACTTGAAATAAGATGTTTTTTGTTTTTTTTATTTTAAACTTGGATCACTTCCATTTGCAAAATCACAGAAAATAGAAGTCAAGAAAGAACATATTTTTCTCCTTTAAATGTTTTGCTTTTAGTTTCTTGTATTTTAATCTTATACATTTAATCTGCTTATTTTATATTCTTATGTAGCCCTTTGAAATTTGTTTTGAATATAAACCATTACACATAAAGTCTATTATAATTATCCACTGCTTGTCTCTGCTAACTCTCTTAAAGCTGAATTTGATAATAATAATAATTAGATCCATTAGTTTCGATAAAACATTGAATACTTAAAATAATTTTTTAGATCTTTAGTTGTAAATATATTTGGAGTGTTTTTAATCACTTTCTTATGTAAAAGGATTATGCTCAGGGAAATAGAGGCTGGATTATGGCCAATCTCAGGACTCTGACTTTAATCACAGAATTCTGACTTTTTTCCCATTTTAAAATAAATAAATGAACTTATTTTTCCCCAGTGGCCCTAATCCTCTTCTGTCCTGCCTGTTTATTTTCCTCTCTACTAGGCTGGATGAAAGCATGACCAAATAAATATGTAATTTAAGCGATGACATCATTGAAGGACTTCTAGGCCAGCCAATAGCATCGCTCCCTGCTGAAGCATTAGCAGCAGTAAAATAATTGCTGTTATTAAGTGAAGTAGCAAAAAAATCTCCGAAAATATTTAAATCCCTTTGTCTCCCCCGCCCCCACCCAACACCACCCAGAGTGGCAGTCTGTGGGCATGAGATGGACTTGAACTCAGAACCTCTGGTATAGAGGAAAT